CTATGTTTGGACTAAAACTGAAGGATCCTCTCTATCAACTCAGGTTTTTAATTTGTTAGATTTGGCTATGATGTATAAATCGTTTCAGAAATACAATGTTGGAGCAGGATTAGAGTAATCTAGCTTCAAGGATGAGGAAAGGACAAGACTTTAAATCCTCATAGAAAAAAAGAATAAAGCTATCTGTCCTCTAACACAATGGCTCCCAACCTTTTTTGTCTTGTGACCCCTTTAAAATGAGACAAAGTCTACTTGTGACCCCTTTGTCACAGGTTATGGCTTTTGTGTGGAAGCAAAAGTGATTGTTCCTCCTCAGATTGTATCACTTAAAGAGTTTTAGAGGCCTGAAAGGGGATATATAATTTCCAAAACATTTCACAAGTAAAAAAGCAAAAAATAGGAGAAAAATTAACAGTTATGTGGAGCAGAATTTTCTTTTCTGTTCGATCGCTTTAATAATCTTGTGACCCCTCAGATTCTTCGTGGGTTGGAAACCACTGCTCTAGTGATCTGAGGTTGGAGGAAGGGTAACAATATTTCCAACACTGATCTGTATTCTATATGACGTCTCGACACACAATCATTACCTTTAAAATGTTACACTGTTAATATCTGATGGTTGTTTCAATGTGTTTCATCAGGTGTGCCGCCCAACAAAGCAACATTCATCGATGACCTGGTGATAATGCTGCCACAGAACGTGTGGGATCACCTTTACAGCAGGTACATACAGTAGACATGCCAGCTGAGAGAATGATATTTTCACATCTCCCATTTACCCGTTGTTCTCATAAGTGTGTTATTGTTCCCTTTGTACAGTTAATTTTATCTGTTTGAGTTAACATGGACTGCTCCCCTGCAGGTATGGAGGGGGACCAGCTGTCAACCACCTGTACGTTTGCCACACGTGCCAGATTGAGATAGAAAAACTGGAGAAACGGCGCAAGTCAGAGCTGGACATGTTTGTCCGGGTAAGCCTTTTAAATCATGCGTTCGCCAGCAAGTCCGTGAGCAGAAAGTAAGTAAAGACAAGCTTTTAGCCAGATTCAGTGTAAAAAATTGGTGTGAGTGATAATGCATTGTGGGTCAGTGAGTCTGTGTGCAGCCAGTACTCATGGACGTGTATAGGCTCTATTTTCCAATCTGTTTAACCAGTTGATAGGCTGCATGTGTTGGTGCTCCTCACCCAGCAGGAGATGAGAGGTGTGAGCCTGATGAAAGCCTTATCCATTAATGCACTGGGACAGATGCACCTGTTATTAGCTCCAGTAAGCTAACAAGAAGAGGGGGGATTGTGTCATTTCCAAGAAAGATGAAAATTGGTGCAGTATGGTGTTAAGACTGTCTTCTAATTGGAATAACTACCAGAGAGAATTGATTAGGTTTTCCCATCTCCTCTCCTCTCAATGCTTTCATCCTCACTTAATTTTTTTTTTGTCCCCCCCCCCATCCCCCCAACCCCCAACCCACCCTCCTGTTTCTCCTCCCCATCTGTTTGCGTCCTTTCTCCTCCCTCTTGTCTGTATGCTCACTCCTCCCCCATTTCCTCTCCCCCTCTCCTCCCTCTGCTCCCTCTCTGTAGCTGAACAAGGCGTTCCAGGAGGAGGAGTCTCCAGTGGTCATATACTGCATCAGCATGCAGTGGTTTCGTGAGTGGGAGGGCTTTGTCAAAGGAAAAGACAATGGTAATTGGACAGAAGTCTTGCCTTTCCACCCCCAGTCTGGTTTAAATGTCTTATTAAAAAGCTAAATCTATCCCACTTGACAGTTGTGCCTAATGTTTGGTATCTGGTGATTGGTTATGATTTATCATGGAAAAACTGGTGTGATTTTTGTCTGATGTAAATTTATCTTATTAAACAAATGTCCTGTCTATACATTTTTATGGACAGGAGAATATGCCAAACAATAAACTCTTTTATATAGGACATCCTCTTGTTACCAAAAGCTGCTCGTGTTCAAAAGAAACTGTGAAGTCCCATTTCTTGTCTTGATTTATCTTCAAAGAGTTTGCTTTAGTCCCCCGAGTCAAGTTTCCCTCCTGCTACAGCAAAATGAAGCGTCGAACTATATTTCATTTTTATTCCACGTGTTCTCATTTTTTTTTTATCTTCCCTTGCTTTGTATTGTCACATCTATTTATAACAGCTTACATCTGGCACGTCTGCAAACGTCTGTTTTCCTCTGACTTCTGCTCCTCTAATATTTGTTTTCTCTCTGTAGCAACTGCGGTGCAGAAATTGCTTTTCATAGTGTGACAAAAACATTTGACATTTTAACGTCATTGCTCTTTGAAACAATTAGGACTGAGAATATCTCAGAAAAATAGACATGCATGTTACTGCTGTATATAATTATGACAACTAATTGTCTTTCTTCATCTTAAAGATCCACCAGGTCCCATCGATAATTCCAAGATTACAGTAAACAAGAACGGCCATTTAACACTCAAACAAGGTACTATTATTATTATTGATGTTATATTGTTTTATTATTTCTGTGCTTTTATTCTGTAGAAAGGTGTAGTTTTGAATATTTATTCAGGAATTGTAAGAAGCATGAAATAAGTAAACTCTGAAAAAATATAAACCAATGATGATCCTGTAAAGAACAAAGTACTTTTTTATCAGAGCAAGTATTGCAGAGTTTCTTCAGATTGAAGTAGTTCTTTGATTAGATATTTGTGATATGCAATGTGTGTGCTTGCTCTGACACTGCAGGAGCTGACTCGGGACAGATCTCTGAAGAGACGTGGAACTTCCTCCACTCTATCTACGGTGGCGGTCCACTGGTGACGGTGCGGCCGAACATCAGCCACCAGGAAGCTGAATCATCACAATCAGAGGAGAAGATCGAGGTGGAGACGCGCTCTCTTTAAGCAAGCACTCTACAGTAAAGAATGGGAAACATTTAAGAAACGAAAAGCCTTTTTATTTTGCACTTGACTTTTATTTCAAAAGCATTCAAGCAAAGGACCTCATCTTTACCGCTACATGACAGCCTTTGACAGCTGAGGGAATTAACATGTCTAAAAAGGTTTGTCATTTTGTACAAATCTGTATAAAGAGCTCTTCGATTTCTATTAGCACTGTAGTATTCATGTGTCAGGTTGTTTTCAGAACCAAGCATTTAAAGTATGTGCAGCTAAAAATTCCACTGAATGCCATATTTCTTTTTTTTCATGACCAAATGAGCACATATTGTTTGTCCATGTGTCTTGTGTTGCTGATATCGATGAATTGCAATACATCTTGCTGTAGATATATCACACATTTTTCCTGTTATAATATTGTCCAATGAATGGTAAGGAGAGCAAAATGTGACACTTAAAGTGATGAAAATCATAAGGTTATGAAGGGACTAATTACTGACTAGTCTCAGGAATGAATTTTGTGTTTTGCACTGTTCTTTATACGTACAAATTGGCATGCTCACGCAAATGTCTGGTTTGTATTTGAATGTACCAGTACTGATAGTGACGGTATGTTGGTCAAAATTCAGCACTTGGTTATTTATCATAGAAGGGAGTGATTTAATATGATGTTAATAGATTTTTTTGTAGAAAATAAGTGGCAGGCAGAGTCTGTTAAGAATGCATGCTTTAACACTCAATCCCAATTTAACATCACATGTAACTGCATGTAAATGCAAAGCTGCTCATAAAATGTGCACGCAACTCATGATCTGGATCAATCTTCACTAAATTGTACAGCTATAGAAAGCATATTGCAGTATGTAATCAGCATCATCATCAGCAATCTAATTAATTAAAGGCATTATTTTTGTGTATGGGCATGGTGTTGCTTAATGTGTTGGCTGATAGGCGGTAAACAGAATGCTGTACTGTAAGGTTTTGCATATGGATGTCACTTGAGTAAGATCTACCCTGAATTTTGCTGGCTGACACTATTAAAACTTGATGAAAACATATTGAACAGTGTGGTTACGTTAATTGTCACCCTTTGCTGATTTCTGAAAAAGAGTGTTTGTTGGGTGCGAAACAAGGGGTAAATTAGAGAAGAAAAGTAAATTATAATGTGTATTGTCCGTCATTAAAAGTGTTAGTAAACAGTCGTTAATTAAGCTAGGTTACCCCGAGATTATGTGACCGACTGCACTTCTGGCATGGGCAAAAATGTAGAGTGTTGCAGTTTGACAAGCGCGGCTGAATCGGCTCACACACCCCGACTAGTTGACTGGACTGAAAACATGGCTGCGGCCGAACGTGCAGCAAATTTACGGAAGTGAGGTATGTGTAATTCTTGAGCTTCAAAAGCGATTTAGAAGTGTACCTCCAATTTGGTACTTGTAGCACAGCAAATGAAAAAAACCTGAATTTGGTATCCCACCAAAAAATGTCTACGACCTGCATTGTTGGCAGTACACAAATATATCGGCAAAGTTATGCGCGGAACAATCAGCTAGCTTGGCTAGCTAATATTAACCTGCTGCGGCTAGCTGTAGCTGCTAACTGGTTATCAACTGCCGTTATAGTACTTGGCTGCTATCCATGCTACTCCTGTCTGTACGCAGCAGTTGAAATGTAAACCTCGGCGAATCACAATGTTAGTAGCGATTCCCTCCCTTTATTGTGTTGTTGATGGACTTAACGTCTGGGTCAGTAGTCGAGCTAGCTAGCATGTACCCGATGTTGGTAACGTTGGTAGAGAGGCTGCATCTGAAATCGCCACGATTTCTTCTCTGCGCGGTGCGGTTAACTGGAAAACTAGCCGAGGTAACGTTAGCCAAGTTGGCTAACTAGTCGTTAACAAGAAAAAAGCATTAAAAAATGAAAGTGGTGGGGTTAGATTGTAGTGTACTTGTTAGTTGGGTGTCGTGGACAGTGTGTAAGATAATGTGAAATTCACGAGTGCAACAGTCTGCAGTTTGGTGTCTTAAGCGTTAATGTTTTATATTTAGCCCTGAGAGCTAACGGTAAATTAGTTTGCTGAGGTTAGCTCGCTAAACAGCAAGCTAGGTCAAGTAACGTTTGCTTGGAAGTTGGTCCATGCTAACGTTTACCCCGCTCGTCAGCTCCATGAACCACCTGTGTTTTGCCTAAACGTGGTTCCGGAGTTTTTAACGGTAAACTTTAGAGTTCACCTGACGCAAACTAGTGTTAACTTAACCGGCGGCATGTGCGGCGGCACCGTTGTCTAGTCTCGGTAGTTTAACAGCATCCTCGTGCCTCCAACTTTGTCGGTGCTGAGCTCGCGGCAGCTGATTAGCTGGGATGTGGGGGTTTGGGCGATTCTCGTCGGTATGTATACCAACACCACTTCGTGGATTTTTTGTTGCCAGTAGGCCCTATGGAAGTGTTGAACTACAGGTCAGTAACAGAGGCGAACAGACCAGCACGACGGTAAAACGGCTCAAAGCTTGTTTGTTTATCATAAGACAAATTTCTCACTCTGAAACTCAGTTAGCTTAGCTGGTTTGCCAACACTAGCCTTCACACTTTGCTTGTAAGGAGAGTGTTTACTTATGTAAAGCTGAGGAGTTTACTGCTTTAAAATCTCAATGAAACCAGTGTTTGGTATATGAAGGCAAATAAGCAATTTGTAAGCCCTGGTCTGTCATGATTATAGTAATGCAATCAGCACGTGTTTATCATAACTTCATAACGCGCTTTAGAGAAGAACAGGAAGTGGTTTGATTGAAAGGTAAATCACACGTGTTCTGTATAGGTACCTGTGTTGACTAAGATATTCGGCTTTGACACTGTTAAAATCCAAGGTTAAACTGCAGCCTGTGGGCAGAATTTGTTCTTTTCCAACCTTGTTAGGATCAGTGACCATACATGGCAGTATATTGTGGTAAGACTGTAATGAACTTGCTCAAACCCTACTACTGCAAAATGAAACTAAGCACTTGTAAGGTTTACCAGGAGTGTGCTGAGAAGTTCATTGAATAAGCAATGGTATGATCTTCTTTGTTTTATTCATTAGTAGTGATCACATTTTAATGTTTATATCTGACACACTAAAACGTGGCATATGTAACACTAAATTATATGTTTAGATATAGTATACAGTTTATGACTAGTTACCCACTAAAATATGACATTTTTTGGCTCAGTAACTTAGGACTGTTCACTGTCACTTACCCACCAATATTAGAGAGAGAGCCCCAATGAAATGATGGTCAGTGGTCTAAAGCAGTGGTTCCGAACCCTTCTTGGCTTGTGACCCCATAAAACACAGCAGTGTCTAGTTGCAACCCCTGATCAGATGCTTTGACCTTAGTGTTGACATGAATTACATGCAGTTCAACCAAAGAGTCATTTATCTGTGTAAGATTTTTTCATTTGAAGCACTTTTAGAGGCCAGATGAAAGCAATAGATTCTTCACATAACAGATTTAACTTCTCTAACTTTTCAAGACTGGGAACCACTGGCTTAAACTGTATCTAATCTAAATTTCCTAGTGTGTATACTGAGGGAAACCAGTGGTGTGATATATAGTACTGTGCAAAAAATGTAAGCACTGTAGGTAATGTGAGTATGCTTCCAGAAAAAAATCAATGAATAGTTTTTATTATTTATTTTTATCAATTAAGGTCATACAAAGTGCAGTAAACAGAAAAAATACTTAGTATTTGCTGTGGTCACCCTTTGCCTTTTAAAATGGCAACCAGTTCTCTTCTGTATGCTTGTGCACAGTTTTTCAAAGTAGTTTGCAAGTAGATTGTTCAGAGCATCTTGGAAAACAGTTCTTATGTGCATTCAGGTTGTCTTGGTGTTTTCAGTATCTTCATGTAATCCCAGACTGACTCCATGATGTTGAGATTAGGGCTCTGTGGGGGCCAAAACATCTGTTACAGGACTCTTATGTTATTCTCGTTGCTGGAGATAGCTCTTTACGACTCTGATTGTATGTTTGGAGTTGTGGTCCTGCAGCAAAATGAATTAGGAACAACCTGATGCCGCCCTGATGGCATGGTTGCATGATGGATAAGAGTGTATATTTAAAATGCCTTAATCCTTTGCACAGTACTGTATTTTTGGTGCTAATTCACTACATGCTCCACAGCCAAGGAGGTTTTTGTTAATGATTAGCCCTACATAAAAAAAATTCTTGCATACCTACTTTGTAACAGTGTTGACTGGGAAAAAAAGCAAGCTATCTCACACAGTCAAACTTTATGCACTCTTTATTATACAACATTGCAGTCATTACACCTCTGTCAGGTGTGTGTTACATTAGTTTGAGCCTCTGCCTCTGTGTCTTCCAGCTTTCTGTCGACATCTATAACATGTTTTATTGCAGCCGAATTCACAATGTAGTTCTCATGTACATTTGTTTCTGTTGTTAGACAATGGAATGAGAGTGAAATAGTGATTTAATTGAAGCCTTTAAACACTACATGTTAACAGTCATTCTAAATCTGCAGTGATAAAATTCTTAATTTATAATTGGAGCATCATCTGAAAAAATCATGATAAATCCAGGTTGACGACAACAGCTCTGTTGTGTTTTTGGATATATTATCATTTAAATTTAACAATCACAGTTATGATTAGAGGCGACTAAACGTTGTCCTAACTTTACTGGCAAGCAGCCCCCGACCCTCACCAGGCTGGCTTAGGTCATCGTTTTGGAAAAGCTCCATTTATCTTTTACAAACTGAAACACCAAGCAGGTGTTTTCAAATTTACACGTTCCGATAGTGTTTTGGAAATGCTCCGTTTTCTGGGGAGGAAAACAGTGTGAGTCTGAAAGGAGGGCTGAAACGGAGAGAAAAAGATGCGTTTACAAATTTAAGCAGCTTAATGTGGATGTACTCTTAGATAGGATAGTCACGTTTGCCAAGTAATCACAACTTGCTTTGTATTGTTACACGGGCACAAATCTTCCACCAGGCACCTGAATGCAACATTAGACTTTCATTTATTAATTATTAGTTGAAGCTATGCCAATTAACAACTTGTTAATTATTGGCATAAGAAAATGTGAGCTAATTTTTCACATTGCAATTCTGCTCAACTGTAACCCTGATCATTTTGAAGTAGTGATTAGTTTTCTAGTTTTTGAGAGCAGGTCACATGAGCCAGCTTAATTAGTTTTGTCGTGGTGAGTCTAAGGGTGAGTGCTCAGTCTGAATAACCTGCCCCCTGCTCCCCCCATTGTGTTTTTCTTTCTCTCTCTTATTTTATGCATGGACAAATCACATTAGCTTTCTCAGCTGGAGTCTTTACTGGAGTGTGAGTAATATGTGCATGTGGTAATGCTTATTCCAGGTGACTATTATGTTATCTCCCTGAAGGAATATTATCAAAATGTATTTGTAGCCAGGGTAGCCTTTGGCTTTGATGTTCCTGTGTTGGCACTGTGTAGGGGAAGGGATGGATTGTCTCAGGCAACAAGGACCTTTTTAAATTAGTTTTGACAGAGGTCGTCCTACAGATTGATGTACTAGGAATTAATGTAAATGAACACCATGTCCAATGCTAATTGATGCAATAATTTCTCTTTTCAACAATGAATGTCTCATGACTATGTCTCATCTTCTGCAAAAGGACACTCAGTGAGATCATCTCCCCCTGAATGTCACTTTAGTATGACCTTTACTGCATTACATTTTTATTGTCCTCTGTTGTTAGATTTATTAGTTGGAGCCATGATCTAGAGGGTACTTCAGTGGCAAGTTTCCTGCGTTTGTCCTGATTGCGAATGTTCTCAGGAATTAGGCTATACATACATTTATTCTAGCAAGGACAGGATTTTTTAAATCCAAATGATTTAATCTAAAAATGTCCCTTTATTTTGATTATGTGTATGATTATGTGTATGTATATTATATGTATATTATGTGTATGTTTACATACACAGGGATAACTTAATTTCTATTTACTGTATATACCTAAATATATATTAATAAATTAAGGTATTAACATGGTTTATAGTTGTATATTTTCCCACTAAAATTAATTGTTTGATTTTGTACTAATTGTTCTTTATATTGATGAGTTTCATGTAATGTAATCTGTTTCTTGTTATTTGTAATAGGAGAACTACTTTGCAAATGTGTTCCTAGTATTGCATGACTGCCGGCTATGGTGTTTTTTTACATATAGAAACAATATAATTTCTCACATTAACACATTGCTTTACATCTGCTTCACTCCATGACCTTTTTGCAGATTCAAATTACTGAGAGAAACCAGAATAAGATGACTTTTTATATGCATTTTTGTATGCGTTGATGAGTAAGCTAGCAATGTTATTCAAGTTACATTTGCCTCAATACAACCTTAATGTGAATTAAGCTGTCTGCATGAAATGGTGAAATTATCACCGACTGTCTGACCTAGATGACATGTGATGCATGATGCATAAAGGCTGTTTATTATCAGTGAAATTTATTATTTAGTATAGAATAAGACTCACTACTTCTTAGCGTGTGCTCGCATTGGATAGCTGATTTTCCGGCTCACAGTGTAATTCGGTATTTTTCTTCTAATGCACAGTAATGAACTTCCTCAGCGACACACAGAGCGTGTTTTGGGAGTCTTTGTTGTACCTTCAATTGTGTGAGTAAGTTAATCATGTCCTAAGCTTCTATGGTACTTTAAGCCTGTAGGCCTTGTGTAGGATTCTTATTGTTGCAGCATTTCAATCTTTGTATGTTCTAATAAATTGTGGAAGGATTGCAGCCTGTTGGTCCTCTGGCACACCTGTTATACAGAGATAAACAGACTACAGTGTGTGATGACAAACCTGCAGTGTTATCTCTGCTGAATTGGATGTAAGAATTACAGTGTAGCTTCTGTGTCAGAAATCAGTCAACCAGTAAAACATGTTTATTCTTTGTCTGACAGAATAAGCAGTGATCTCTGCAGGGGGGGGATAAATATACTCTCACTGAAATACGCACATTATGTATGATGACTTGTGTATTTGATATTTTTGGTTTTAAGGTAGTTTACCTTTGTGAAATTCACCAGTTTGCCTGCTTTGGGGCTTTTCTTCACTTAAAATGCTCAGTGCACTGTAGTCACCTTTATCTCTTGAGTAAGCAAGCAAGCACATACAGATGAGCTTCAACGCTGTGCCATTTGTGAAGTGTCAAAAGAAACTGCAGAATTGGTCATTTAGGCTAAATGGGAGATCTGACCTTACTGTTTCCTGTTTTGATCACCCACCTTTTAAGTGTATTTCCTTTGCACAGACCTGGGATAAGACATCTAGTTTTGCTTGTGGCCAGAAGGTGTTGCTTAGCTACAATGACAGGAGAAATCAATACCCCTCTGGTGTGAGCTGAGAAATGACCTGAGCAGTATTTAACAAAGGCCTTTAGGGGAATGCTTTTGTTTGAAAAACCTTGTGTATTAATTTTTAGCTTGGCTGGCCAGTGAAACCAGTCAGACCTATAACCACTACAATATTAATGCTACAGCATAACCCTTGAGCTGTAAATGTTTGCATGGTTCAATCATTATAATACCTTATTGAAGTGTTTGTATCTGTTTGTATGTGTTTTGCAGGTGCCCACATTCTGCTGCAGAGGAGAGAGCACCAGGATGAGGAGACTGTAGGCACCCGCCGTAGTATGGCCGCGTCCCGTTCCTCGCGCGTCACAAGGTCATCAGTGGGGCTCAATGGATTGGATGAGAACTTTTGTGGTCGAACCCTCAGGAACCGCAGCATCGCCCAGCCGGAGGAGACTTCGGTGTCTCCATTACCGAGGGCCCGTTCGCCCAAGAAGAAGCAGGACGCCAAGCAGGAGTCGAAGCAGGACGCCAAGCAGGAGTCGAAGCAGGACACCAAACAGGAGAGCAAGCAGGAGTCAAAGCAGGACGCTAAACATGATACAAAGCAGGACGCTAAGCAGGACACTCAGCATGATGGCCAGCAACAGGCCTCATTGCAGGGAAAGGAAACTGACTCAAATGCTTCCACAGCTGAGGTGGAGCAATGGACCAGCTCCAGGAAGCGGGGTGTGTCCTGTTTAGAAAAAGACATTACTCCCGAGAAGCCTGAGAACTGTGATAGAGGGAAAGGGGCGCGGGATGCCTCTCCTCAAATCAAAAGGGCCAAGCGGTGCTCCCGCTCCGGAGAGTCTCAGGGACACGAAGAGCACCCTGAGCCTCAGAAACCTGAAAGTCCAGCCTCTGTCCCAGAGCCTAGCAAGGACAACAGTTGTGAAGAATTTCCCAGTCAAAACTCTGCTAATACAGCTCCTTCCTCACCTGTGCTGAGTAAAGAGGAAGGTGAGCTGACAGGAGCGAAAGTGGAGGATGGCCATGTGGAGTGTGATGGGGCACCTCATCCCCCAAATGCTCACAAAGCTTCTAATGGACTCCGAGAGAATAAAGCAGAGGACTCTAGCGCACTCACTGAAGAGTCTAGTACAGATCCCACCTCTGCCAACAACTGCCCATCGCTGCTCAATGGTAGCCAGGCGGGGGCTCCCTCATCCCCTGACCCTGCTGTGCCTTGTAGAAACTCTGTCCCTGGGCAGAAAGAGGTCTCTGGCTCAGGGGAATCGCCAGCCTCATCTGCACCAGCACTTGAGGCTGTTCCAGAGGATCCTGTCCCTGAGTTGATAGTGGCCAAGGAGCAGGAGGTAGAGGAGGTGGAGGTTGATGTGGTGGGTGAGCCCTTGTGTTTGGCCCACGAGGAGCAGGTGACAGAGAGCGAGAGTGACGCCAATGGCCGGCCACTAACACCATTGCAGGAAGCTGCTGCCTCCACCTCCTCCACAACCAACATGAACAGTAGTCCAATCAACAACAGCAACTCAGGAGAAACTACACCCCCACTAGCAACCACCCCCTCCCCCACAGAGCCAGGGTGCAACCCCTCAATATCCAGCACGCCCCCCTCTTTCACAGAGCTCTATGAACACAGATACACCCTACGGACTTCACCCAGGAGGGCTGCCACTGGTGGCAAAGCCACCTCCTCCAAGCCCAGCTCTCCTCCTAGAGACAATGGTCCCTTGAGGGAAGAGGGGGAGGTGGTGGTTGGGCTGGAGGAGGACTGTCCCATGGTGGAGGAACCTGTTCCCTCAGACTCTGTAGGCCCCTCCAGTGAGTCCTTGGATCCTGGAGACAGGCCAGGTGGCGAGGTTGGTGGGTCTTTGGATGGCAAAGAAGCAGAGAGCAGCAAGGAGCTTACACAGACCCAGGCTGCTGAGGAAGAGGAGGAGGAAGAGGAGGAGCCAGACGTGTATTACTTTGAGTCTGACCACCTGGCTCTTAAACACAATAAAGAGTATGTGGGAGCTCCTCATTTCCCCTCATCTTTTGTTGATTTAGCTCTCACACATTTTGATCACTATATTCTGTGATCATTGCATTACTTCTGGTCTGTGGTTTTGAATGGACCAGAGATGCACTTTAGTTAATGTGTATTTCTACGTGCTAAGAGTATTTGATATCTTGAAAGTGCTGAATGTCGGAACACCTAAATTTTTTAAAATTATTATTATTTAATCTTTTTATTCCGGCTTATGACCCCTCCTTGCAGGCTGAATATTTGAATGAGTTGTGAGCAGTCCTCTAAACCTCTTAGTTTCATTTGAAGAACTGTTAGAGATGTGAAGAGCCAAGGTTTACACCTGCCCGTATTTCATAAGAAATGGATAGGATTAGAGGAAAGTCAGGAAAATAAATCAAAATTTGAGTAGCGGAACAGTATTTCTCTTCTTTGCTGTTTGTGTTCATTATCTCATGACCCCTCAGATATATCTTGCAACTAGAGCTGTGACTAACAGTTATTTTCTTTGTCAATTAATCTGTCATTCATTTTCTCAATTAATTGTTTAGTCTGTTAAAATGTCATAAAACAGTGAAAAATGCAGCACGAGTTTATGTATTCATGGTTGCTTGTTTTATCGAGCGAGGGAATATTTTACATTTTTTCATTAGAAATGACTGAAATGCTTAATCGATTGTTAAAAATCGATCAATTGACTTAATTGTTGCAGCTCTTCTTGCAACCCTGTGCCTGTTGACAGTCTCGGCTATGATGCAGAGGATTTTTATGTTTCAACAGTTTGTATTTTATAATAATTTGTAGGAGTTGAATGTAAATATAATGGAAAAAAAACATTATTAGCCTTTTTGGTCAGCAGACCATCCTTTCCTCTGAAAACAAATGTAAGGAAACACTGCATTGTGATATAAGTGTATCAGGGTTTTTGCACCACCAACACATAGACAGAATGTTTGTTTGATTATCCTAGTTATTTTTAGAGTCTTTTCTCAGTCATTATGGGAATATTGCTGAGCATCTAACTATAGCTCCTGTCCTTTTGTTTAGGTTCTACATGTTTCAGCATTTAATTTTCACCTTCAATCTGGTGCTCTGATTGTGTGAATTTCCTGCCAATTGTCAGATTTCCAAAGCCTGAGGAGAATGGATGTTAAAATTACTGCTCTGATTGCTTCTCTTCGCTCTCTTCTCAGGAACAAGAGTTGTTTTAGAGGAAATGGATTTCTCAGTGCAGGCTTTGTTCCTAGTTTGGTTGTCAGATGTCATGCAAGATTATGTTTATGTTAGTGGACAGGTCTCATGCTGTGCGCAGTCAGGCTCTCCTAACTGCACTGTGGCAGGTCAGCTGATTCATGATGCATCTTCATAGGAGGATGGGCGGAGCGCTTTAGGGGCTTAGAGACATCATCAGCTGAGGTCCTTCTGTCTTTGACACCAGTATTGGTGAATGTTTCAAATTCGGATAGTGGCTTTAGAATAAGATTTCACTGCGCTCGTATTACAAGGTAATTCGATCAAGTTTCTGTCACTTGCCAAGGTTTCATTGCGCTGAGTAAGGAGACTTTCTGAAGGATCCGATCAATGCAGTGAGGAGTCATTTTTGGGGAGGCATGACTAGGCATTTTAAGGTTGCTGAGTGTGGAGAATTGACACTGACATGATTGATGATCTGTATAGAGAAAATCTTGTATTTGCACCTCACAATTTTATGGATTATATTGTGTAAATATAAAAAAAATAATAATCTCAGAGCCTTAATTATCAGGCATTAACAAAGGAGAACTATTGTCCTGGTCACAGCCTTTCATTTGGCACCAGTGTTTGTGAGTGGTCCTTGGGCCCAGTAGGTGGCAATGGAACACCAGGCTTGTCCCTGGACACCTGGAGGGAGTCCAGAGTGTTGAGAGGCAGAGCCAAGTTCTCCTCATTCCGCTAAAACGGATTAATACACAGATCGTCTGTTCATCTGAAGAAGTCAGCATGCTTGCTGCTTTCTCTTGCAGAGATCTTACATTTTAATCAGAATCACTCTGTAGTACAGGAAATGTACAGCAATATATTTTAGTGCCACTGTTGCAGAGCCAGATTTACATCTTGCATTGTAGCACAGTACAAACTGATGCTGTACAAGGTCAACTGTGCCTCACATAGTGTAAAAGGCTGGTGTCTGTAACGAATCAAGGGATATGAGGTTAAAGACAGTTGACCGGTCTGAATGTTTTTACGTGGAGGATTTTCAAACCACCGGCAGCTATTGAATAAATTGTGTCCTGTGCATTGATTTTCATTCATGTCCTGTTAGGAAGGATTGATCCACTCTGCTCCACTGAGCACCTGCATTAGGTTATAGCCATGTAGAATGCTGTCACACTACTGTCGATTCCTCCAGCTCTGCTCACACTGTAAGGCCTCTGAGTCAGTACCACACTTAGTCATTGACAGCTCAGTTTGCAGTTCTCCTGTTGCCCCAGAGGGTGTGAGTGGAAAGGTCAGACCTCTACAGCACTGAAGACTCCTCAAGCACTGCAAAACCCAAGTGGTAGTCATGCAAAGATTTTCATATTTGCTGTGAAATCTGAGTGATGTGCATAGTTAGAGATGAGAGCAGTGTGTTTTCTCTTACCAAGTAAATGTTTATTATTTACCAGCTGCAGTTCTTGATGACACTAGAAAAGCAACTCTCTAAAGTTGTTAGGTATTTGCCAAAAAGGTTCATTTGAGAAGATACATATTTTATAGCCATTGCCAAGATTTGTACTACTCAAACACCTGTAAAAACTTTATAGGCAAAATAGGTGGAAAAGATTGGAGAGCCCTTCCTGTCTTGTGCAACTATTTAGGTTGTGAGCACCATGGTTGAATTATGCATAGTCTGGGTTCTAAAAGTTTGATGCACTGCAGCATTGCAAGTGTCAGGTTAAATAATGTAAGCAGTCCATTCATTCCACTCTTGTCTAAACTCACTTCCTTTCATGTCAGTTATCAGAGGCTGCTGCAGACCATCGGAGTTCTCGAGGCCCAGCGCACGCAGGCCATCCTGGACCTGGAGACATTGGCACGTCAACAGAGAGAGGCACTAGCCGATCCCATTAGCTTTGTTGAACAGCTGCAGAAACGGGTAAAAAAACAAAAAAAAACCCCAAAAAAAACAGACCTGTGTCCTTGATATAATAAAATGCATAAAGCTTAGAAGTGCCTGGGAGAAAAGTGTTATGTTTTGATTTTACAACAAACGCCTTCGGAATGAGTTGCATAAAATATGTTAAATACACCGTGCATGCTGGTATTTTAATAAGTTGTCACTTACTCTGCATCAACCCCTCTCTGAGACATGTAAGATCTTGATTTTGTTTTTTGCCTCAGGAATACCTTGCTTGTTGAAACGTTGCTGGAATAAATAGATTTGGTAGCTTGTAAAATGCAGGGTGCAGACTGCCATTCCTTTTCCACTGTATGAGTCTCATTCAGTCAACCGGGCTGAATGTGCACACTGTCCACATTTTCTACTTGGGATTTACTACCTGACAGCTTGCACAATATGATTTCAAAACAAATCAGTAAATGAACTAATGCAGTCAAGTAAATGTGGCCACTAAATACAGTCAGAACACCTGCTGAACAAGTTAAAGCAAGTATTTGCTTAAAAATTGGTGAAAATATGAAGACAGAAGCCCTCCACAGCACACGAATGGCCATCCCTTCTCTTGAACCTAGATATTGGGATAACTTTAAAGCCCCTGTTTACAAAGATATCAACATTTGAGCATACCCAACAAAAGTAGAAATATCCTAATATATGAAAGTTTGTTTTGTAACATCTTTTGGTTTCTCATGTGTTGTCAAATATCTAACATTGCTGCAGTGAGTGTTACAGAAGTTATTTGTTAATTTGTTATTGGAATCGTGACGCCCCGATTCTTGTGATCTTCAGGTGAATTTGGGCTTGCCGTGTCCGCAGCGGGTTGTCCAGCTCCCTGACATTGCGTGGGAACAGTACACCTCAGGCCTTGGTGACTTCGAGAGAGAGTTCTGCGACAAGAAGCGCAAAACCAGGCGGCTAAAGCTGATCTTTGACAAAGGCACGTATAAATTTAGAAATGACAGTGAATTTCATTTAATATAGATGGGTTTTTTGTCTTTATCTTGTAGGGTGTACAATACATCAAATACCAGATAAACAATTTTGTCATCTCACAGCTTTTAAAGATAATAATTCTGCTCATTCCCTCCATTTAGGTTTGCCTCTTCGACCAAAAAGTCCAGTAGAACCCAAGAAAGAGGGCGAATCCTCCACCATGTACTCCTCTCTGCCCACTAGTGATGCTCCAGAGAACGGAAGGCAAGCGCAGGTATGGCTCTGCCTCCTTACTAAAATAACCTGTACGACACACATGCTGCTGCTGTCATCACAGTGGTGATCGTCTGCCAGTGTATCATTACATTACCATTACCATTTCAAACTGCTATCTCAACCTCATCTCCCTTATTCTTCCTCGTAAGCATACAGCACATGTGAGCACAAAAGATGGTATCTATGGAAACATGAGGGGACTGCCTCTCCCACACCTCTGATTATTATGTCTTATTCTTGGCCTCTATTATGTGTGTGTGTGTGTGTGTGTGTCTGTATAGGCAGTAAGGTTTCACTTTTAATTGATTGTTCGGATTAGACAACGCCAAGCATTTAGCAAGGAGCAAACAACTCCTTGATTATTTCTGTCTCGCTCCCTGTTTATATTGTGCGAGCACATTTGCATTTCCCCGGACTACACTGTCTGAATTCTAACAGGATTTTGTTTGTCACTCAAAAGAGTTGCTGTTTTTCTGCGTTTTCCCAATGACACGTCTCGAGTCACATCTGACAGCCGGGCTTTCTCTGTCAAACTGACAGATTCAGTGTGCCAGGCAGTTCATATGCACAGAGCTCTTCAAATAGCATTTTGCCCCCCCCCCCCCCCTCTTTTTTTTTTTTTTTTTTTTCCCTCCATGGAGTCAGTCCTTTAACATGCCTGTCACTTGTTTACTTGACAGATGATCAGGGGGAGGATTTGTCATCCAAACAAGCCTGACACATTTAACCAGCTGTGGACTGTGGAGGAACAGGTAGGTTGCAAGCGTTTAAGATGTTGCACTATATTTTATAAGACTGACATAATTTATCAGGGGAGTGGTTTAGTGTTTGGTTTCATTGCCATAAAACAACCTACACGTAACACAGAAACACCAAACAAACTATAAAGAACACATGGAATAAATAAAGAGAGAACAACCAAGTGTGTGTGAGGATTGCTTGGTGAGACTGGTATAGCAACATTTTCAGGCTCTTTGTAGATTAAAAAAAAAAAAAAAATCATGAACACCACATTGATGTTATAAAAAAGGAAATCTAAAATTTACAGAACTGTAGTCTGTCCAACTATCATCATTTTGTGAAATCAGGGCTTTAAATCCTTTTTGTCTATAAGCAGACATTTATTAATTTGTTCTACTTGCCTCATTCATGGGCTTTCTTTTGACTAGTGTCTATCTGAATACTTATGTCCTGTTGCTTAGTATTATCATTTGCACAATAAGGAAGTTTGTCCTTGCACAGTTTTCACCTGTTTTTTTGTGTATTTTCCAGAAAAAACTGGAGCAGCTTCTTGTTAAGTTCCCTCCTGAGGAAGTCGAGTCCAGGAGATGGCAGAAGATTGCTGATGAGCTGGGCAATCGAACAGCAAAACAGGTGATGAAGAGAGAGAAAATGCATGCACTTATTACCCATTTGGTTTAGTTAGTTACTTATTTTCTGGTCAGATTCTGGAAAGAATTCACTTTAAAGAAGCAACAAACTTCATGATGACCTACACTTGAAAGAACTGACTTGGCTGATTGTTTGCTGGTAGTTGTCTGTAAACCAGATGTACTGTTGTTTACTTGTGTTTTTATTAGCTTGTCATGACATTGAAAGTGTGTCATTGCTATGGCAACAGACTGTTAAATTGAGTATACATGGACTTATATGATAACTGCAGCCCCTGCAAGTACCTGAATGATGCATGTATGTGTGTGTGACCTCAGTTACTTCAAGCGACTGTTCCCCAGTTGGAAATAATTAACGTAGAAATTTTTCTGTTAAAACTTTCCAGGTTGCCAGTAGGGTTCAAAAGTACTTCATCAAACTGACAAAAGCTGGTATCCCTGTGCCTGGAAGAACACCCAACCTGTGCATGTACACTAAAAAGGTAATTCTTAACTCATTAAATACAAAACCCTTGACCATATTAAAACAAATTGTTGTCTTAATGAATGTAAGGTGTCTTGAAGTAAGGACTGGGCAATTAATTCAGTATTGACACATCTGTTAAATGGTGTTGTGATGTTTTGAGTGTGGTTTTGAGTAGAGCTTGATTTATTTTGGATATTTGAGAAAAGCCGTGATAAGATTAAAAAAAAAAAAACAAAGCAAAAAAAAAACAGCTAATGATATCGGCCAAGCCTTGTACAGATTGGTGACAAATTAACGGAAAAATCAACATTAAGTGCCTTAGTAATGTGTCGGGTCACCATGTGCCACCAGAACAGCTGCAGTGCTCCTCGGTATTGATTCTCCGAGTCTCTGAAGTCTACTGCAGTGTTTTAATGGTGGCGGTGCAGAGTTTTAACACGTCGGTCTAAAATCTCCCATAGTTGTTCAACCGTGAAGGCCATAGCATATGATTCACATCATTTTCACACTCATCAAACCATTCAGTGAGCCCTCATGCCCTATGGATGGGGGCATTGTCATCCTGTTTTATCATTTTACAAAATAAATGACACTAAGCAAATTGTAATGTGCATTTCAACAGTTATTTTAGCAAGTTTTGTTTGACATGAAGAATTTTGTGAACTATAATATTTAACAGCAGAACACAGTTCATTGTACTGATCTTCAAATGTGGTGCATCCTGATGTATATTGATATTGGAAAATTATACTTTTTAATATCACGATACTGATTTGACCTACATTGCCCAGTACATGTTTAAGGGGATGTTTAAAATGATTTCCTTCTGTAACCCATTTGTTCTCCAGGCATCCAGTAAGAGGCAGCACCACCTTAACAAGCACCTGTACCGGCCGTCCACCTTCTTGACCTCCTATGAGCCTCCGGTCTACATGGACGAAGATGACGAGCGCTCAGCGTATTACAGCAGCGTGCAGGACCCCTCTGCTGATGACTCGGTCAGTCCTCTGTCACATCTGAGAACATCAATTACTGAAGGCCACAAAGCTTTTGTCTTTATATTTAAGTATACTAGCGTTTACACACACACACCCACCCACCCACCCACCCACCCACCCCTCTCATTTCATTTGTTGTGGGAGGTAATCTTGTAACTGAGCTCATTTGCCTCGTTCGTGCCACCGATCACCGACCAGACTGTGGTACTTTGCTGCTTAATTAAGCTAATCACAAGCTCACATGTCCTCTTCTCCGTCACCATCCACAGTCGTACCCTCTCCTCCTTATGTAAGAAGTGGCCTGTATGATAAAGACTGGTAAAAGCTACATGTTATTTTCCTTTGGGAGCTTGTTTTATACCTGACCAGTTCATTTAAATCCATTTCAGACAGGGCAAAATGCTCCCTGCCTTGTCTCTTACATCTGTATCATATGATAGACTGTCCCTCTGCCTCCTAACACCTTTGGATGAAATGATGCATTTGGCCCTTGATCATGCTCATTTCTACTAAACCCCCCCCACCCCCACCCCCCCAGCGTGTGCTGTTGAAAACTGCTCAATCAGAGTAGGGGGCCTGGCCAGCCTCGCCTCTTTTTCCATTTGAACTCCGCGACTCCTGACGCTCGCCGTTATCCAAGCGCTGACATTTTCTTTCTCCCCCTTTGATGGCAGTAACCTTTAAGTAAAACCAGGTTGCTGTGTCCTGCTGAGAACACAGGCTGCCGGCTCCACCGGCGCGTTAACAAAACCTCTGACACCGCCGATATGATGTAAAGTCACAAAGATGTTGCCAGCATGGGCCACAATAATTTCTCACTTCACCAGGTTGTCCTTTACTTTGGCTGTGTTTGCAGGTTGCACTGAAAGTCTTCTCAGGGCAAGTGCATCGGCAGCTTTGCAGGTCTTTCACAAAGCCATTCCCGGTCAAGACCTGGGAGTTTTGTTGACAATAAAATGTTGCACATTGCCCCTATTTTCATGTCTCAAGTGTTTTTTCCCCTCTCTATAAGAGGGTGGAGCTTTGTATAGACAAGAGATATCAGACATTTAGTGTCTTTGTGAAGGACATTGATGTTTTCATTTGTGTACCTTGAGCCGAAAGACGACCTCTGCTCATGACAGACACCACAACAATGCAGCTCAGACCGAAGAAAACCAATACTGATGTTCATGGATATGTTGCGTACTAAAATTAGACCGATCAATATTGTCAGCAAAATTGTTTGTGGGTTATAAAAGATCTAGAGAATATCATTATCAGATTGGATCGCTGAAGTCATGTAGAGATGTTTTGTGTGTGTGCATGTCCTGATGCCCATCAGTCACGTCCTCTGTCTCCTCTCTCTCTCTCACTCTCTCTCTCTCTTTCTCTTTGCATGTTTATATATGTGTGTGTTTGCTTGCTTTCCTGGACTCCCAGGACGAGGAGAGTGTACCTGTGGAGTTGAGAAATTTGCCAGAATACAAAGAGCTTTTGGAGCTGAAGCGACTGAAAAAACAGAAGCTCCAGGAGATCCAGGAGGATAAGGTCGGGGTGCGGCACGTAGGCTACAAGGTGAAGACTGCATATTTCTGTACATCATGAAGACAAAATTAAAGCCAGGCTTCTGCATATACAAGTGTCCTCAGTGTATGAGGGGAGGTGAAATCACAACATTGAGTGAGAGGGATTGTAAGCTGGTCAACAAGGACAGAGATTGTGTCCCATTTGCATAGTATACACTAGTTCTCTTTGAGCATGTATCATATTCACACTGTACAAAAAACAATACAAAGTATATTTGAAGAGGACAACATTCATATTAGAAATGGTTTTAGAGTGTCATGTTGATAGACTATTGTCCCCCAATGAAAATACAGAAGGCTGTATTAAGCCACTGAATCACTGAAAATACATATTTGACTCAATTACGACATTTTCCAGTTTGAAATTGGCAACAGAGGACAGAAGTCAGTGCTTGTTCTGACGTTAGCAATATCAACATTACCGAACAGAATAGTATTTAATTTTTTAACTTTCTCCGTATCTGTATTTCTACTGTTGCTATAGTGTTCCCTTATTTGAATTGAGGATGTGAGGGTAGAGGGGGTCGTATGCTGTAGAGATTGTAAAGCTGTTTTGGTTTGGGCTAAAAAATAAAACTGACTTGACTTGGTGTCCTGCCCAGGCCACGTGGTCTTATTACCACAAAATACAGATCCACAGATTCAAAATGATTTAAAAACAGAACATTTCAGTTACCATGACAGAAATGTTCTTTTGTGATGGATACGGTGTTTTCTGTCTTAGTTGCCAGGCATTTCCTGCAATTCTTACCAAAAGAAAAATCATATACTCAACATATTACCTTCAGACAACAGAAACAAATCAATGGTTCTTAACTGAATTTTTAAAATAAATGATTCCTCCAGTTGCTGTGCATTGGACAAAAGAAAACCAAACAAAAAGAAATGAATCAACACCAAGGTCACAAAGAACACAAACACTGCTCTTCATAAATACCTTTATATCTGCCTGCCTTACTTGCCTGCAGTAGGGTATTGCTTCTTAACTGAGTTCACAGGGACCTCTGCCTTATCTGTAAATTACATTTTATATGTGCTTCACTGTAGCAATCTTCTTTTCATTCAAACATATTTTCTGAGCTTTGGCTTATTGTTCCTTATTGTGTTCTGAAGATGTGTGTTTGTGTGTGTGCTTGTTTTCAGTGTGACGTCTGTGGCATGGAGCCAATCCAGGGAGTGCGGTGGCACTGTCAGGACTGTCCGCAAGACAACTCGGTTGATTTCTGCTCCAACTGCTCCGACTGGTGAGACCATCCACCTCTGTCATGAAAGTACATGCAGAACTCATGGAGAGCGTGGGCCAAAATGATGATACATACCATGAGATGACATTAATTTGTCTAATAATCAATTTTTCAATCTCCATAGAGTTTATACACTGTTGGCTATCCCTTTAAGATCGGGGATGTGTCAGGCCATTATAGGCAATGTTATAAATGAAAGGGCATGACTGCTTTATGTCAGTAATGCATCTTTATGAGATTTGCATCAAACTGGATTAGTCAAACAAGCCTGTCTGGTTATTTTATCCATTTTTAATGACATTTTCCAGAAACTTAAATATTATGGTACATATCAATATTGTCTTGTTTACTTATATTAAGGGCCTTTATATCTTAAGTTTGTTCTGCTTATATAGCATTTTGTTTAAGACTGTGTGAACAAAATATCCTAGGAATTTACAGAAACATACATAATCTTTTTCTTTGAAAATTCAGAGGAATGTTTCCAGGAAATTAGCTGAAAAATGCAGGACCCATGAAATAAAACATTACCAGAAAGTAATTTGTAGCTTTATTTCTTACATTCTAATGTGTTAATAATGCAGAGAATGTAATAATATCTTTTTTTTAAAGGCTTATAGATAGTAAAACATGTCATGGTCAGAAGGTATTGATTTTGAGTTAGAACCCAAAGTGACAGTTGAAATAAAATTGTTTAGGCGATTTTCTTACATGTTTCGCTTAATTTTGCCTTCAACATGAGATCGTTAGCCCGCCAAGACGTTGGTTCTTACATGACTAATGTTTTTCCTCTTTTCCCCTCTCATGTTCCAGTTTGTTCAAGACAGAGACCCACAAGCCTAACCACCACTTGGAACCGGTGTACCAGCCAGAAACCTTTCTGGACAGGGACTACTGCCTGCCGCAAAGCACAGGCTACAACTACCTGGACCCTAACTACTTCCCAGCCAACAGATGACAGGGTACCAGACGCCCCTAGCTCCAGGCTCTCTCCACATATCCCACAGGCCACTCTGTGCATGGCTCCATCCTCCAAGTCCAAGATAACCGCTTAACCCGCCGCCAGGCAGGAAGGCCAGCAGGCAGGCAGACAGCCAGGGGCCTCAGAGCAGACCACAGTGCTGCTGGTGGGGGGCTGTTGGTAAACTGGCCTCCCTGACTCGAGCAGAAGGCGGCCGTGTTGGTTCCTCAGAACAAGGGGGCCCCGCTCCACCTCAGCCAGGTTAATCAACGGATCTGTGATTTGAAACGATACACTATTTTTAAAAACAAACAAAACAAAAAAAAAAAAAAACGAAGGCACACCGACATTCCCGAGCTCTGTGACTCCAGGAGGGCGGTTCATGTTTCCCTCTTCCCGTCATCGCCCTCCAGTTACCTCCCTGTGCTGCTTCGAAACTGGAGAATTGACGATAAGTCTGGTGAATGGAGATGTGTGGTCGACGAGTGTGTCATAGTGGACTGTGAAGTCATCAACTGAGATACACACAGGTGGTTTGTATGTGTGTATGTGGTCTCCGTGTTATGCAAGAGTGGAAAATGTTCTAGCTAGGTATCAGTAGATTGAGTATTTATGAGTCGCAGCTTCCCCAGCAGGAGTCGGGGGGGGGGGGGGGGGGGGGGGGGGGCTGCTGTGAGAGATGTTAGACAGACACCGAGGTCGAGGTCGGTGTGTTTATGGCTGCAGACTGTAGGAAGTTCTGCTGATCCACATGACGTTCTGCAGACAGACCTGTACGTGTTCAACGGATTGTGCGCCATGTTTCAACATGGAGCCGTCACTACCACTGTCACACAACGCTGCTCTCTAGCCCCCTCACCTTTCAAACACACACACACACAGACACAGACACAGACACACACAGATGCACACTTTCATCTCTATTTCCTTTCCCTTTGCTCTCTTCACTAAAACATGTCTAGCAAGGAAGCACTACAGCATGGAGAGCAAATGTTTTTGAAGGCAGGCGAATGGGAACGTATGGGGAAAAATACAGAAGACTGTTTTTCTTTTTCTTTTCTTTTCTCTTCTCCTCCCCCAATGTGTGCCGTTGTTGATCATGTTGAGTGTACAAGTATATGGTGAAAAGTAGCCAGTGCTAGTTGCTGTGTGCCATTTTTAAAAAGAAATATTTTTTTGTTTTTGGGGAATTCCACCTCTAAACCTGGCCACAACTCCCTTTCTGTGTGGCACCATCGACCCACATTATCCTACATTATTGATCCAGTCATCATGCCTCTAGACCTTCTTTAATTTTGCAGTCCACTTTAAAAAGGTCCATTTAAAAGATTGTATTTTTATTAATCTATTTAAAAAAAAAAAAAAGAATTGAGGTAGTGGTTGGTGCCTCCACTGTGGAACAACCCACACAATTTTATACACATAGATTTTGTTGTGCTTGAGTAGACACCATTTTGTATGGTTTTCGTCTCCTTCCCTTACCTCCTTTGCCCTGCTTCAATATCTGTGTATAACAGTCTGTTCTTATGTAAAAAAAAAAAAATTAAAAAAAAAAAAAAAATGTAAAAAAAAAAAAAAAAAAAAAATGCTAGAGGAGAATCGTGGAAATAAAAGTATGTGAAAATAGTGTTTCTACATATGTGGTTCCTGAAGTATTATTATTATTATTATTCCTGAAAGTCACTTCAAGTTTGACATATGGTTTAGCAGTACAAAGCTACAGATATCAGTCAACTTAATGTATAGCTGAGTAATAATTTGCTTGTTCCAGCCACTGAAATGTGAGCATTTGCTGCTTTTCTCTGCATCTTATTATTGTAAACTGAACATCTTTGCCTTTGGTCAAGCAAAACAAAACATTTGAGTAACCTGGGACCTGGGACTCAGAAACTGTGTGCTGACATTCTGTCAATATTCCAGTTTTGTATTATTTTTCAATTACAATATCAACCAAAGATAATTTAATAATGTTAAATATGACTGTAACTAACAATTGTTTTTATTGTTTTATATGTCGATTATTTTTCTCTTATTTGATTAGTCCTTTGGTCAGAAAATTACCATCCCAATTTCATAAAGTCCATATTGATGTCTTCAAATCAAAAAATCTTAAATTTGTGATAAAGTGATTCTTTATTTCGCTTATTTTGTCCAACAAACTGAAATCCAAATATACTAAACCACAAAGTAATGAACAGTCGGTAATTGACATTAACATTACAGTTTTGGCTGTTTTTGCTTGATAAGTGATAAATGATAATCAGATCGAGTAATTTCTGTTTCTCAACTAATCAATATTTCCTATAATCTACTTTAGACAATAACATAAGATGATACATAAGTGCTGTAAAATTGAATCAAGATGTATAGTGACTATTTACGATTCAAATATGATCAAAGTATAAGTGACTTCACAGAAATTCTATTTTATGCTTCTGTAATTTCGATCTGTGCAGAGAGAGCTTGACAGACAGGAGGTTTTGATCCCACACGCCTGTCAATAAGACTTTCTGCTGTACGAGAGTTTTTGTAGTAAAAGAAAATGGCAGGATACATTGATAATGTCGCTTCCCAGAACGACATCAGACTGGTTACCTTTCATCAGCAGAGAAGCACGATGAGCGACAGCTAATTTATCACCTCTTCTACCTGTTAAAGTGCTTCGGTGGTGTAGGTGTAAAAGTTTTTTTTATAGATTGAAAGCAATTTATAAACGTTCAGGTGTTGTCAGGAAGATGTGAAAAAGTCAAATTTTTTTATTTCCTTTGTTCTTTCCATTTATGCTCCCAACATGTCCCTCGTGACCGTCAGCGTGCACTTCAAACACTCCCTGACACACTGAGCGCTGCAGCTAAAGGGCATTTTACTGATGTTTGATCCATATATTGTATCGGCTTAAAGATGGACACACGCAATCATCTTTTTTTTTTATTATATTTTAAGTGGGAAGCTAAACTCTTCTCCTTTGGTCACCTTTCATGTAATTTCAGCATTTTTGTTGTCAGCTTCTCACCAGCAGATGGGGCTATCAGATAAGCTGTGATCATCTCCACACACACACACACACACACACACACACAACACCAAAGCACACACTCCAGAAATCCTCCATTTACCAAATACACTGTCTTTATTTGAATGTTAAATACCAGACTTGAACAAGCACTTGTACGATGAGCTTGGAAACATACAAATGCAATATTCTTTTAACACTCTGCTTTTTATTTAATGCACAAAAGGCAGTTAAGCTTGATTGTAATTCTTGCATGCTTGTTACAATGTAAAGCATGTTGCTGTGCATGAGAGCATGAACACACGCTGACATTTTCACTTTCTGACATGGCGGGAACCCTCTCTGAGCTCCTCCGGGTGGGGTGGGGGGTATGGGGATGGGAGAGATATTGAGATATTTCACATTCAACTGGAAACACGCTCTCAGTCACAGCAGGGAATGCTATTTTCTCTGTACATTTATTTGCCTCAATCCGGCAGTTGGCAGCATATATTGAGGTTGATGTGAGAGAGAAAGAGAGAGAGAGAGACAATGCAAGAAGATGACGCAGAACAGCCAGGTGCTTCGTCAGTGTCAAAAGCAGAGAGAGGTTTCACTGATTGCTGGGAATGTTTCAAAACATCAGGTGGGACATGCATACCACTGGAGTTCATGAGCATATGTCTGGTGCAGATGTGAGGTCATGTGGGCGCGTCTCCTCGGAGTGAGTGCGAGGGGGGGGTGGGGGGTGAGAAAGGTCTTCACCTCCTGGGCAGCTGAGTTGAGTGGGCGGGGGAGTGGTGTTGAGGGAATGGTAGAGATCAGAATGTGGGAGCGGACTCCATCGCCTGGCAGATCTGGGCAAACGCCTCATCCGGAGACTTCTCAGCATCAATCTGCAGACGGAGACAAAGTGGCTGAGACGAGGCCTTTCAAAAGCCATCAGTGTCTTCACATGCGGCCGAGGACAGCAGTCTGCTGCAAAGCAACTCCTGCGAGCTCACTGCAGACTGATGACCTCAATACGTGTTGTGGCATTTAACCCCCCACACCCTCCACCTTCCACACATACACACACACACACACACACACACACACACACACACACAAACAAACACAAACCACCTGATGTGGCATTTAAATGTTCAAACAGCTCATTTTAAAGTGACAGCCACCCCCAACCAGACACTGTGTGATTATCTGCCGACCCTCATGTGGGTGGAAACGTCAGCGAAGTGAGCAGAGTCGCCAAAACCACCGCGAGTTAGACTCTGTGCTCACATCCCAGCCTTTTCTACATGACTGACATTCAAGGCAAATTAGTATCTGGTGTGAAGATGGGTGGAAATGACATAGTTGTTTGATTTGATTGTTTTTAGCTTTAAACAATGATGTGTCTTAAATGACAATCAGATAATCATATCAGCAGAAATGGGTTTTTCTTGCTGTAATCAATCCTCCCGTTTATACTGGACATTAAGAGATTCCATGGAAGCGATAAGAGACAAAATCCACAGTCCTCGCTCTGTGCAAAAATGTAACAATTGATTTGGAGGAGGACTAAGGATTTTGTCCCCCATCACTTACACTGGAAGAGCAGTAGGAAGGTATCTCTTCATGGAGGAACGATTACAGCAAACAAAACCTGTGTCACTGTTCATATACTGTTGTTTTAAGACATATATGAAAAAAATGTGAACCTATCCTTTAACTAACTTTGCGTCAAAAGCTTGGAAGAGAGGACAAAGTGACTCTTTATATGGTCTTAAAGTCCATTTTTTTTATGTTGGGAAAGATCTGACAAAACAAGTGCAGATGCATCCATACAGGGCAGGACATCTGTGACGTGGGGATTTGGCTGTAGACATGAAGGTCTAAACATCTTTTCACGTAATTTATGTAAAATTCTTGCAGAATCATTTGATTACATGCAGTATTTCCATGAATAGCTCATGAAGCCTGATCTAAGTGTTCTGTAGCTAGTCTCAAGTATTGTGTTTATAGTGCAGCATTATGTCCTTTATTTTACTTTATAATCACAAAGACTTAAATACCAAAGTTTTGCCAGAATGTTTTACAAAAATATGGAAAATAATGAGTTAAAAAAATAAGGGGGTCATCTTTTTGTGGAGATAAATGTTCCTGTGGATAATTTCCCAGTCAACATAATTACTGTAAAAGAAGGCTGCAACGTGTGTCTGAAGGGTTTATAAAAGTAAATGAATTTCAGCTGAGATGACGTGTCTTGAAATGAGATAATGCTCATTTGAGGGTCGACCCCTCACCCTGGCAGAGCTATAGCTGCACCTAGCTGCACAGGAAGGCACACAACTTACCGTGTGCAGGAGCCTCTTGCGTTCGTAGTGGGCTGCCACCGCCTGGCTGTTGTTGCAGAAGCTCTCAGCCCGCCTGTGCACGGCGCCGTCTCTGTCTGTGCCGGGATGGAAGCCTGAGCCGGAGCTGGAGCTGGAGCTGGACCTGCCACGGCACTGCAGACGACTGCACATGGTGTCAGGTGAGCAGTTCAGCAGAAGAACCGCACTGGGTTCACCCATCTGACACACAAGGCACAGGAAGAAGGGAAGTTAAAGTGCAGTTAAAGCAGTGAACCTCGGGCTACATCCTCCCCTGTACTTGATGCTTTGTGTCACCCTCCTGTTGTCCCATCAGTGTGAGAGTGTGTGTGTGTGTGTGTGTGTGTGTGTGTGTGTGTGTGTGTGTGTGTATACGTGTGTGTGTACTCTGCATCAAAAATGACATTTTTCTTCACTGTCAAACAAGTCGTGCGTCCCCATTCCCTTCCATTATTTCCACACTTCTGTCACTCCTTCATTAACACAGTGAGTCATATTTAATTGTCATTTTTCACACTGATGTCAGTGCTACATGTCAAACAAGTCTGAGAGTTTCTTCTCTTTCTCACTCGTCACTTCGCTTTGCGCTCATTTAAGTTTTGTGGGTACATGACTTCAACTTGTGTCTGCTGGTGGATAACTTTCTCTTCTTTTATTCTGCTGTCTGTCCCGTCAGCCTGATGCTCTGACCTTGGCTTCGTACTCCTCCGCCTGTCTCAGGTCTCTGGGGAAGCTGCTGATCACAAGACCTTTCCCCTGCCGTACTGACGACGCCACGGCATCACAAAGCAGCTCCAGCAGGGTGTCCTGGAGATCAAGTACACACATACAGCACAGGCATTAATTGCCATTCATACCTGAAAAAGCACGGGATTATGCATATGTTCATATATAACATTTGTGTGAGGCCTCCTCCAGGGGCCCCAAAAGCTGCAGGTTCACTGTGTGTCAATTAACAGCAAATTTGTTTGGCAATAAAGCACAATATAATCTGAAATATGCACCTTAAAAATGATTCTTGAATCAGATCTTTAATGTTGTTCCTACGTGATGCATAATCCTAAATGTGTAAAATTGTACTGAAAATGGCTGCAAATGGCTGATTCTAACTTATTTCTATTATTGCTTTCTCTACTGATTAATGTTGATTCAATTTATAAAATGTCAGAAAATAGTAAAAAAAAATGTCTATCACATGTTGCCAGAGCCCAATGTGTTGTCTGTACATTGCTCTTTTTGTCCAGCCAACATTAAAGTGTTTGTGATTAATTTTCTCTCGATGGACTAATTGATTAATTCACTAATTTCAGTACTTCAGACTGGAACGAACTACTTGACAGTATCAGTGTCAGCAAGTTGGTTTCTGGGGCTTTAGATAAAATATATTTATGTGTAGTCTGTAATTTGCACTGCACATGACAGCGCCTCTCTATCACACATACACTAATAGGACATTGGGGGAAACTTGGGATTCAGTATCTCGCCCAAGGACACATTGACACGTAGACAGGAGGAGCTGACGACTGAACCACTGACCTTTTGATTAGTGGTCGGCCCGCTCTACCTCCTGAGCCCCTGAAGGCAACAGGGTAAATTCATAATTAGTTGGAGGAATGGATGCCAGCTCATGTGTCTCCTACAGACCCCCCTTGCGGGTTGATCAGGCAAGTGCATTGGTATGCATTGATAAGTGCTACTTTACTGTGCATAAATAACCTACATACATTATATCCTGGTGCGTCTAGTGGCAGGTATAAATGTACTGTATAGAATGTTTGTGACTGCAAGGCTGCTAGTATGATTAGAGCAGGAGGTGTGAAAAAATAATGAACCAATCTGGTAGAGGTGCTCATAGATACCTGTGTGCAGGGTGTAACACCTCACAATGTAAGATAACCCAACAACTTGACAAACTACAGCCTTAGAAATGACAGCAGTTGATGGATTACTGAACGGGCACAGCTCCAGGTCATACAGAGCTTCTGTATGAAGTTAGTGTTACGTCTTGTCAGAAAGTCAAAATGACTACAAAGAAACGCAAAATGATACAACCTACAAACAGACGTAAAATGGACAGAGAAACACAAAACTAGTAAAAATAGATACCAAATGGCTACAGCTCTCTGTCAAAGTGTCAGCAAATATCAAACAGGATAAACTCCATAAAAGTAATCTTCTAATGGGTGTTTTCACGGGATTGTATTACGCTGGACACTACTGCACTCGTGACATTTTCTACGTACTGGTACTCAAATCAAGTGCACCCTCTGCAATGAGTCGGCCTATTTAAAGGTGTGAAGCTCCACCTGCTCGCTGGCTCTGTAGGCCTGTGGCTAATGTTTCTATGAACACTGCTTTGGACTGCTGGCAGTCGCATCAAGTTGATTCAGAAGAAAGATCAGGAAATAAGTGTGTTGTGTTGTGTTGCTCTTTGTTGCTGCTGACATTGGAAACCTCTTCGTCATATTAGCTTCAACCACCTCAACCAGGAAGTGATGTTAGCTTGGAGCTAACACTGAAACACCTCCAAATGGCTTCACACTGAAATGCTGGAGTTGCTGCTTCACTTCACCAAACTCTGGTAAGTGTTTGCTGTGTCTTTGCTCTGCTCAGTCCGTGTTTGTGTGGATTATTGCTCTCCAACGGGTGCGTGTGGTTGTTTCCTGGCCTCTGCTGCCTGTGCTAACTATGCTAACTTTGGTCTTATGCTGCTGCACTTTATTCTGGTTGTTTGGCATGACTATAATGTTGCTGGTGATGCTAACTTGCTTTGTGGCATGACATCATTTCTGAGCTGTTGTTTTGGGAGTTTCATACTGGCCCAGTTTAGACTGTGGTCTCTTGTATATTGTACATGGGGACATTGAGTGAGTGATGGCATGTCATCAGTTCTCTGTATTACTGTCTTCATTAGAAACTCCAGACTGTTGTTGCCTTCACGTCTTCTTCACATATTCTCCACACACTTTATATTCAGCCTAGCATTGGACATACAATATAATTCAACTCACAGCAATTGTGTTGGTTATGCAACACTTTTCTATAGTATGCTCTTCTTCATAACATGATTATATATGATCTGCTGTTTATGCTGCTGCTGCACTCAGCTGCTCTCGTCTGTAATGTATGTTTATCTGCTGCTTATCAACACTACATAACTGTCTTGGATTGAAATGTGCTGAAGTTGAGAATAACTTGGCTGCACAGCTGGCGTGTCTGACTGCTGCAGGTCAGCTGGGTATATATCGTACCAATTCACTTAGCAACGTCACTCAGTTGCCAGTTCATTAGGTACAACTAGCTAAAACTAATGCAGAAGCCCTGTGATAAACACTGTAACCTTGGTGAAGGTGGGTTGTTGTAATAGACTGCACCGGTTATAGCATTCCCTGCTTTGTATCTAAGTAGACATACAAGCTGTGCTGGACTTATGTGCAGCATTCTACTAATTCCATGCATATATATTCATATAATAAATCAATTATTGTGGCTGAACTGTTATTTCTTTTTAATACCATTCACAGGGAAGTACAGTGTATGTGGAAAACTGAGTGTTTTTGGGGCATTTTGTCTATTTGATTGTTATCAGCTGAGAAGTTCAGGAAATATGAGGAGAAATATAAAATGTTGAAGGTTATGGTTTTCTTCAGGCTGATGATCCTGCAGTTGTAGTTTGTTTTTTTTTTCTACATTTGTCTGTATTTATTGAATTCAGGTTCAAAACTCCTTACTGCTCAGATACCATAGTTTCCTCGAAGGTCAACGGCAAGATGCTCCAGTCAATAAGTCCCTGAGCAACATCATTAACTATTTGTTGATGCACTCATATTAGCATTTGAGAGAAGAACTCACAGGAAGGAAGAGGCACAGCAGTGTCATTTACCATGACCTGACCTTGTCCAAAGGTAGATATGCTCTTCACTGAATATTCATGATCAACTCTACTGCCTGAGCTGAGGCCCTGAGCTGCCAAAGACACATCAAATCAAATCATGTGCAGCTCGCACACACCAAGGAAATCAAGCAGTCCACTAGTGCTGGTAGTTTAACACATTAAATATCGAGGACTTTTGCTCTTTGATATCAGCTCAGAATATGCAGTATGTGTGATTCCACCTCTGGATAGTGACACAAGACCCCACATGGGGGGGGGGGTCCCACGTTGCTGCATGTAGTAGATGGCACACATGTGGCCAGACAGGGAGCTGACGGTGTAGTGCGGGATCACATTTGACAGAGAATAATAAATTGCTCTTTCTGTGTTGCCAGGCAACAGTACATTCACATTTTACCAAGTCCAACTTTCACTATGTGGTTTTTACAGTTTTGCACTCAGCCGTGAGCCACAAATGACAGCGTTTCATCTCATGTTGAGATAACAACCTTAACTCTGATGTGGGTGTGATTTATTTTGTCACAGTAGGTTGTGTAATGTGTTGTGCTGTAAACCTGGTGAGGTGCACTCCCACTCCCAGTGTGGGATTATTCATCATCCTCTCTCTCTCTCTCTCTCTCCCTCTCTCTCCATAACTATGTCACTGTCACATAAAAGTAAGTGTTTGGCATTGACTGTGTCAGTGAAGGCATTGGGACATGACCTTAATGTGTTGTAAGAAGCTTAGATAGCTGAGCCCTGCTTGAAAGCCACTGGGTTTCTCCATTGAGATGACAGAAAGTTAAAGAAAATCTCTGCGTGTGTGTCTTTCATACGTCTTGCTTTTGATTCCATGCTCCACTTTTTAATCTTGAAATGATGAAAAGGCTGGGAGTCTCTGCTTTTCTAGAGTTAGTGTTTTCTATTGTTCTGTTTATTGTTTGTGTTGCTCACAAAACAGAAAAGACAAAAAACCTTTTTCATTTTTTCAAAGCGTTGGTTCAACAAAAACTGTCCTCACTCACTTCTAGCACATTTAGTTTTGTTTGATATTTTACTTGTGCTGGCATCCCAACAGTCGGGCTAAAAGAAAATTTGTTTGTGGGGCTCAAAAGATTAAAAAAGAAAAAAGAAAAAGAAAAAATTGATTTAGGACAATCAAATCATAATTGACATTTCTTTCCAGGAACAAGTGTCCCCATTTATAGGATAATCCACAGTTGTCACTGAACAGTTTTCAGACTGAATGAGACTTCCACCTGCCTGTTAGACTGAAGGGCAGGGATGATACTGAAGCGCCTGACTGATGGTGCTGGTGCTTCAGAAACGGCTTCATTCAGTCTGACAGTTTGGAAAGTTTTTCAGCTAAACTATGTGATATAATGTGGTGGACATTAAAGAGATAAGAAGAGAGGAGAGTAAACTAGAAACATGGTGATGTGTGATAAAAGTAATCAGCTAACTGAATGAGCACTGGGCCTAAACAGCACCAGTAAGGTACATCAATATTTTGTTTCTGGGTTTTTAAGACAATTCATTTAATAATTATTTTACTGTAACATATTCTGCTGTAACATCTACATTTAATCCAACACTAAGTATTACAGATTTAATATAGTGCAGGCTTCTTGGACTTTTTTTTGCACACGTATGAAAGAAAACTATTAAAACAGTGAGCTGTGCTGTGACACCATTCTTGGAGGGGCTGCTATAAGTTTTACAAACCACCAGATGTCGCTGTACCTGCTTTGTTTTAAGTCTCAAAGATATGAAACTGTTTTTTGGCACAAATAAGAAAGCCCCAAAGTGTCACAAGGCTTCATCCACCATAACTACTACTACTATTTACACCACTGTACCAAAAATGAAAAGAAAACTTCACTTAAATGACGTCTTTTCCCAGCTGACAAAAGGATAACCCTCTGTCTACTGAGGAATCCACATTTCACTGAGGACGGTCTCTCTCAAGGACGAAAACGAAAATGACAATGTGACTCAGTAAACACTGACAATACAAGCAAGTCTTTAAATATTCATCACCTCATCAAGGAAACTAATTATTAATCAGCCGTACTTGGTATTGCAAAAGCATAAAAGCATGGTGGGTTTTGTAGGTTAGAACAAAGAAATGTTTAACTCAAGAAAACTAAAGATTAAATCAATGAATAGTAACTGAGCTTAAAGAATACTTGCCTGCGATTTGGCTGAACTAACTAATGACAAGCGTGGTGAGAAATAAAGGTGCAAGTGGGACAAATGGTGTGGTCTCACCCACTTTAAATCTGTAGTAACTGATTTTTTTTTTTTTTTAAAATGTAAGTCCAGTATTAACCCTCTTTGAACTCTGTTTTTGGTCTCCACCAACTTCTGAGAGAAATTTCTGGCTCCTTAGCTGCTAAATGCTCCACATTGTTGTCATTTGGAGTTCGGCAGGTAGTGCACAGTGGGTTTTATATCTTTTTCTCTAAAAACAGCTGCCTGCTGCAGCTCCAGCTCGTACAGTATAACCTGACACTTCCCATAATTTCTATAGGAATGTGCTCATGCTTACACCATCGGCTGCTGCAGCTGACTCCAACACCTAAATGTGATTTAATGTTCATATATGTTTGTTATAAGGAGATTAATTTTCCAGCAGAATTTTGAAGGTGCCCTGTGGAGTTTCCTTGTAAACAAACAAGTTATGTTTTTATTCACAATACATTACCCTCTAAAAAGTATGTGTGTCTCCGACTAAAACAAACCATTTATACTTGCCAATGTCAGTATGTCACCAAGCCAAGTTAGCATTAGCCTTAAAGTAACACTGTACAGTCATTAACTAGTTTTAGACAAGTGGAAATTTTGACCTTTTGGTGACAGTAAATGCGAATTCAGGGACCGGTCATTAAGTTTGATCACCTTGGGACCGTGAATGTCTGCGGCAGATTTCATGGAAATGCAACCTTTAATAGTTGATATAACTGACTGTGGACTGTGGTGTTTAACTCACAGACTCCTTTTCCCATGGTAGCGTGGGTGAAAATGTATGCTTATGATAATGAATAAATGCATTCACCTCCACTGTGTACAGCTGGGTGCTGAAGCCCATTGAATTACTGCAGTATATCATTTTGTTTGACTGCAGAATGATGTATGTGCAGACTGTTTTCACATTTATCTGCTGAAGGGGGAAAGTTTCTCTCAGCGCTCACCTCAAATCCAAGTTTAAGACATGTGTATGAGCAGGTTTTAGTGACATGAAATGGACTTCTCTCTGAAGTAGTGAATTTTGAACTAGAGTTAACTTCTCATGGTTGTGTGCCTCCGCCGACCAGCCAAACTGCAGGAAATATGGCCACAATCTCTCCTTCCTGAGTTTCAATGTTGAATAATGACCAGAAGTGTTTTTACAGAACATTGACAGAACATCACAGTGAAGTTGACCTTTGACCATTTGGATATCAAATGTCACTTCACCATTTTATCCTATCAGACATGTGTGTTTGTGTTTGTGTCAAAATTAATGTATGAATTGGTGAGTTACAGCCAAGAATGTGTTTTGTGAGGTTACCTTGACCTTGACCTTTAACCAAAAAACTGAGACATTACGTAAACTGGAACAGGACGGAGAGATGGACGGACAACCCGAAAACAGAATGGCTCCAGTCCTGGCTGTCACTGACGTACAGGAATAATTAAGCACTTTTCTGTTAATGACCTTTAATTAATGAATTACTCAGTCCTCTGTTGATAATCTAGCATGAGTACCTCACTCATATGAATGACGGTATTATAGAGGATTGTCAAATTTGAAAATGACTGTCGTTATTCTGACAGTAGTGGCAGTTTTCACTGTATTGTGAGCTTGTTAAAACAGCTACGGTGAAATTTGATGAGCTTCAGCTTTTGCTGCACATCTGTGAACTGAAAACCACTTTCCCACTGTCTGCTGGAGAGAGCTTGCATTAAGTGACTGGCTGAAGTCGACTCCCTACTCTCATGAACATGTTTACGACTCCTCAGAAAATGTGTTTCCCCTCAGAGTGTTTGGAGTTATAGATAATTTATCTGGGTTTACACTCCGTCAGTGAATTGATGTTTTCAACTCAGACAGCCATGTCAGCTCTGAAGAGTACAGTGTGTGTTAGAGTGCAATCTCTGTGAAAGCCATTATGAGCACCAATGAATGTATAATATTTCAGCTCTGTCCCGCCTCTTGTATTTATTTCTTTAGGCCATTGGCAGGAAAACATATTTTATAGTACATCAGATGTTTTATCTTTCAGTGACGGCACAGAAAGACCTATCTTAGTGCATTTTTCTGACTGAACTTCATTCATCTTCAGCTGTCTGTGTTCATGAAATAATAATCTGTAAGATCTTCTTTTTGAATTATGATTTTGTTGGCTTGCTGTACTGCTCTGTGCTCATTGCTGTCATGTTTTTGCACTACTCTACCCAGAGATCACCTGTCAATCAAAAAGTGTGGGCGGTGGTTCTGCGACATCTTTATTTATTTTTCTGTTCAGGTGGCATTTTACAGTCACTGCTCCCACTTAATACCCTATTAATTGCAAACAAACCACCTTTTCTTTACATCCTCCTTAGAAGCACATTTTTGAACAACGGGTACAATTATCAGTAAAATGAAGTGCTTGTTTCAGTAAATGTGTTAAAATTATGTAATTTGTATTTGATCCGTCTAGTCGCCTGTTTTTGCAAAGCAGAACTGCAGCCTCTCAAAACGCCCAGAGAAGCACATCATGTTCTCACAGCGCTGCAGGTCTGAGTTCAGCTCAGGCTCATTTGTTGCCAACTTGACTGCAACGAAAAATATCCTCTGGGCCAAGAACATGTTTTTCCATAGACTGCAATTCTAAAAGACACTTGAAACTTCAAAGGTCAATTATTAAATCTGTATTGGAATAAGTGAAAACATTTAACATTTTTAAAAATGTCTCCAGAAAAGCAGCAGCTGCAGCTGGTTTCCCACTGGCTTTTGTAAAGGTGCCTTTATACCGTGTGATAACAACATTCGTATGTCACACTGTGCTGGAGGGGTGTTATTAAATCCTGTTCTGCAATCTGTGTCAGACTGTTATATCAGTTTGAGGCGTGTCACATTGTGCGGTCAGTGCAGGGTGAATTGTACTATGGAGTAGAGGCACGTCATCAGCTCATGTCATCCATTCGTGCAGCGCTTGCATTTTTAAAATGCAGCCAAACTAAAATTAAAAAGTTTTGGCTGTAGTGCTGACACGTCTATATATCAATACACCACAAGATAGGGAGGAGAAAGAAACTGTGGACCGTGTCATGGCGGGACTTTATTCTAAAAATGGCACTTACAAACTTTGCCAGTGTTTTCTGCATCATTTCATGTTGTATTCTGATTGGTTGATTTGTAGATGTGGATCGTAGCAGCATCTCCCCTTTTCCACTAAGGCATTTCCAGGGCCGGTCTGGAGCTGGTGCCACATCTTCAACCACTTCTTCCTGTTTTGACAACTAAACAACCAGTTCTCAACAGGTTTGAGAGCAGCTCCAACACTATACCGGTCTAGAACCAAGAACCGCTTACATCAGGGATTAGTGGTGGGATTATTGTGACCAACAAGACCAACTAAAACTTGCTTGGCACTAGTGTTGCTGGGAAGGCAGAGATGAATACAGTTATGTAATGATGTGGCTCTGAGTCAACTCAAGTTCGTGTTGGTGGAATTTGGTCCTGAATTTGTGACATAGGCTCCAAATCTGCCGTCGGTGGACGTGTCTCACAGTCTGGCCTAGAACCAATGTTCTGGATTGACAAGCAAAGATTTGACCACTTTTCTCTCACAACTGTCAACTGACATCTCAGACAGCCCAAAGTTACAGTGTATAGTAACTTAACTTAATTGAGATTCACTGGTCTTTATGGAAAAGTGAAATATGTTCCTGTGCTGGACTATTCATTACAAGATGAATGAGTAAATTAAAAAGTTCTGGTCTCTAGTTCTCTATCTGTTGTGATTGTGGCACATAAACATCGGCAGTGCAACTAGACTACCACACTGACCTCGGGCAGCTGCTCTCCTCTCTCCAGGATGTCCCGCAGGTGGCGCCCTCTGTCACTGTGAGACTGCAGCTCGTTACACAACAGGTCACCCAGGGTGACACGACGCAGGCCGAACCTGTCCTCCATCCGTTCACACTGGAGAGCCTTCCCTGAGCCTGGACCACCTGCGAGCAAGCACAAACACACACACGCGTTTGTACAGCTATCTTTGTGAGGACACAATGACATAATGCATTCCCAAGCCCCTTACCCAAATCTTAACCATTACAACTGAATGCCTCATTCTAACCTAACTCTAACCTGAACCTTAAAACCAAGCCTCTGAAGTCTGATCTTTTGAAGTTGAGAGGATCGGCTGATATGTCCAAACCAAAAATTGTCCACACAACTGCAAAAAGACATGTGCACAGATACCAGCACAGATCAGTCTATCTATAATATCTATATAGTCTGTCTCTATAAAGTGAGGCGAGGATGAGGAAATTGAGAGGTGAAGAGCATGACAAAGGGAGACAGTGAGAGTGAGAGAGTGAGAGAGAGAGAGAGCATGAGAGAGTGAGAGAGTGAGAGAGTGAGAGAGAGAGAGAGAGAGAGATCTGTCTACTTGTGGGTATTTATGAGGAAAAAGGTGTGTGGGAGAGAAGCCAGACTTCAAGAGGGAGGATAGAAGAGAGGAAACGGATAGCAGCTGGGTGAACTGTGTATATTTATATGTGCGTGTGCGTATGCATGTCCCTACACATCACAGGTCTGATTCATTGCCACAGGCTCAGAGCCAGGTTATCACAGATGATTATCTGAATCTATCTGCCCTGCTGCGCCTAGGTTTAACACACACGCACACACACACACACACGCACGCACGCACACACACGCACACACACACACGCACACACACACACACACACACACACACACAGTTTTGCAGCTACACTTGTCAGGACATTGCATTGACTTCCATTCATTGTAGACAGTCTAACCCCAGCACTAAAGCCTCATTAGATATGTATACCAGTACGGATGAAGCCTTCTGTCTGTACTCTGAATTAATTTTGAGTGTATTTGTGCACGAAACAGATGAAACGGAAGCCTATAGTTCAAGTGAGACACGCCCATAGGACACGATGAAGACATTTTTTAAATGGCGGAAATTTTTGAGGAGAGGTTATGTGAGTTGGTCAGAAATTTTAAACATCTAAAGGGACTAACAATTACTATGGGAATTCATTATGAAATTGACTCTGAGCTGCCCTCTAGTGGCTGTATTGCTTAACATCCATGCTAATGTAAAGGCTGCATGGGAGTATGTGGGCAGTGACCGTTGCATCATTTGAAATGGAAGTATCTATTTTCGTCTGTAACCTCAACAACTCCTCCAACCTAAACAACCATATAGGTCGTTTTTTTCAACCCTCTGATACGACCTATAGGAGTGTCTCCTGAAATAGTGCCCCTATGGCGACATGTGTACCGGACCTTGGTTGTCATGGTTACCATAATAAACCCACAACTGTACCGGTGTACTGCTTGTCGCCGTTGTTATTGAAATAACAGTCATGGCTTGGTTAGGTTTAGGAAAAGATTGTGATTTGGGTTAAAATAAGTACTTCCTCAACATTAGACGATATGTGTTGTCATGGTTACAATAATAATAACGTAGTTAACTTTGTTGAACGTTCATGGATAAAAGGAACAACATAAACTGCTGGTTTCACATGGGAGTGGAACACCGCTCTCCTGTGTCACCTTCCTGTGTCTTGTTGATCCATCCATCCACCACAACCTCTTCCTGACGTGGACTTTCATCTCTCTTTATACTACGTCTCCGCACTTTTCCCTTTGCTCCAGTCATAAATACTACGGCCACTAGATGTCACCTAACAACAAAACGTAGCAATGGGTCATAATAACCCTAACCCCTAATTTAAACCTAAACCCAACTTCAACCCTAAACCCACAAACACAAACAAAGCCAGAGGAAATTCAGCTGCCTTGTCTTTACTACACTGTGGCAGGTTTCACTTATTAATAACTGAGAACATTCCAGTCTACCTGCTCAGCCTCCGCATTGTGAGGTCTGCAGGTGTTTTATTGCGGGTTAACCGCATTACTTGGCCATGAAGGTGTGTGAGGCATTGTTGGGAGGTGGCAATTTATCATGACCAGCCTTGAGCCCAGTAATAAAACTCAGGATGTGCTTCATATTCATCAGCATGCTGCTCTAATGCGAGAGTCGCTGCCCTCCGCCCACCTTCAAAAACAAATGTCCTCATCACCATTTCCTCAGAGTGCGTGGACTGATATGAGCTCGGATCACCCAGGGACAACCATGAAGTCAGAAAAGGTCCATAAGAAATAGGGGTGGGGGGGTGGGGTTATATATTCATTCATTTTATATTCAGCACATTTACACTGACATGCCTGCTCAGTGAAAGTATTCCTCTGCTGCTTAACGCCTCCGCTGGGAATTAAAATAATGACCCACCCGGGCTGAAGCGGAAACCCTTAGAAGCTTGTTAGTGACTCTCCTAGTTAGTTGGACCTGCTGTAGAAATCAGCTCTGAGGATAAAGATAGCTTCTCTCTGTGAGACCATCTGAAATTTAGATCACCTCTCTCACCAAGAGAGGATGAAGTGTATCTGTCAGACCTCTGTGCTGTTCTTTATACTACTCCAACTTTTCTGATTTGTACTCTCTCTTTCTGTTTTGTATTTTAAGTTTGTTTTTTTTGTCCATCAAGTTTTCCAATAGGTAAAATAATAGACAGCAACATGGTGACAAAACAAACAGAACAAGACAAAACTAATTTGGGCAAATGTATAAACTAATCCAAATATAAAAACAAATATATGATAAAAATACAATAAAATGGGCTAGCAGTAGCTGTTTTGTTTCTTCCTTTAATTACACGAAAAAATGAGACCAAATCTTCCTCTTCCTTGCTGTTTTAGTTCATTTTCTCAGTTTCCTTCAACCATTCTCCACCGAGGTTAAACTAGTTAACTTAGTTAATTTACATAAAATTTAATAATTTACATAAAATTTACAAAAAAACATCTGGCAAAAGAAAAAGCAAATGAAAGCGTCTGCTGCTGTTATACAAATATTAGAATTCCTCAAGATAAACAGCTGGTGGCGCTAATTCTCCATTCAGGTGCCAAGATGATGCACACAAGTGACACGCTTCATGTTTCATGTACTTTCGTCATATTTTGCTTTTAATACATCAAAAAACAACTTATTTTTTTTATATGCAAATCCAAAATCTGCATAAAATGATGATTGAGCCATAACTGTTAATGATTTTGATCTGACATCCGGGAATCTGGGTACTTTTTGGCATAAAATCTAATAAGGAAAAGAATAAATAATAAAAAGAAAGAACTAGCTACAGCTTTGCAAATCAGAAAAGATTTTTGCACTCTGCTGAGCATCGTCTAGTTTCTCTGCTGGTGTTCAGGTTGGAGATTTAGATCTGAGAAACCCAAACCAGCCCCCTCTGTGTGAACAGGTCTGTCACAGCACTGTCTGCGATTAGAGCCAAAGTGACAGATGAATATGTTAGAAAGAGTCGGCACAGCAGACAGAGATGAAGATGAAAAACATGAAACAAGGCAAAGAGGGCAGAGGACCAGACGGAGGGAAAAATTCTCTCTGTGGTAATTTAATTTGTGTATGCAGTGCTGCTACATAATTACATTTTCCTTGAAGTTTCAGCAGGTAATATTTTGTTGTAAAAAAAATAAAATCAGTCTATATGACAAATGGGCTGCAGCGGTAACAAGCCTCTCGCCCCCACTAATTGAGACACCTCAGTTATCCACTTCAGTTTCAGATGATCACTGAGAGGAAATTCTGTCAGTGCACAGGAAGTGCGAAATCAAAGCCTGAAAGCAAAAATGAAAAGTGTTCCTGCAAACACAAAGGAACGAGGGCTGTGAGTGCTGGATTCCTAAATGATGGTTGAATGGGCTTTGAAAATATTTTTCTTTTCCACTGTCAACATCCACTTTGAAGGATGTTGTTCACTGAGGTCACATTAAATGATTTTTCAGTAATGAACACAGACTGTAGCAGGTGGCCAGTGGTTTTCTGCAGAGATGTTTTTTTGGGTTCATGTTTGTCATGTGTTTTGAGCTACAAGTTCCAAATGTTGACGATGGGATGTGGCCTGAGTGACACGAGCAACTACCACAGTTGAATACTAAGGACTGTCAGTTGAGATGAACACTCAGCCATAGGCAAATCCCTTTTAGTACCAATAAAAAAACTGTTGAAAAGAGAAAATGGCTTTCAGAAAAGGGCTGGAACCTTTTTGTTACTTGCATTATCAGTCTGTTGCATGAAAACTGCAACTTTGCAATAACAGCATAGCAACTGCAAAGAAGTTTGTCAAGCTTTGGATGGAGTGCATGGTGCGTTAGATAGAGCTATACTCTGAGGGTTGCGTCTATTTTTTGATTGCCTTTCCAAAACCAAAACTACAAAAACAAAAGTGTAATAAATGGATGGTGTGCTTATCAGTTAGCATATCATAGGCCATCTGCATTGTGGGGTTACAGGTTATGTTCCAAAAAACATTGTTTAGAATTGACACATCCATTTGTTTCTCACCTCTATATAGCGCTGAGCTATGCTAACATGTATGTAGCCATCAAACGCATGTTCAAGACCCTTTTGGTTCAGGTCAACAAAAATGAGAGATTTTCAGCCAGCACAAACAACGTTCTTATCAGTAGCTAATTGTTATCAGTAGCTGGGTTTCCATTTCAGTTTTGCACAAACCATTTCTTTTGTTTCTTTTTCAGTTTTGCAAAATATTGCTTTGTGTATATATATAATAGTCTGAAAAACCATGTGTATACATTTTTTTTGTGACATTTGAATATTTTCAAAATTCGCATGTTTCCATCACTAATTTTTAAGTTTGCAATTTCAAATTGCGCATTAAGCAGGATACTGGATATGCACCTAGTGATGTGTATGTGCCACAATTAGAAATCTTAATAGGTATAGCAACAGAAAATAAGGGGGGGCTGGGTTATAGGAAGGATATTTTAAGTCTTTGAGTCTATATAATGTAAGAAAATAAGGATACATGCCCTTTACAAGTTTCATCTTCCAGTTGCTTGTTTTTTCTGAGCTACAGTTTAAAAACCCAGA